AAAGGGTCTCCGGTTCTCTACACTCATCATACGAAATACAGCAGCATTAAGCTACTATTTCACGCTGGTATTCTGTGAGAGCGTGGTCCTTCCCCGGTCGAGCCGACCCATTCGTGCTACAACTATACTACTAATATAACTGCAGCATGGCTCTACCACGTCATCTAAACTATTTTTACTATTTCCTAGCCAGCAATTTATTGTTTCCCATAATTTCCTAACGTCTCCCTGACAGCGTGATAGTTCCTGCCTTCTATAATTAGTTCCTGACTTCTACAATTATTCTATAATTACACTGCGATCTGTCAGAAGCCATGAAATGTTTTGGCATTTCCCCAAATATTCCTGCTTTGTGTATTTCATTTGTTCATAGATACAAACATAAAAATGTAGAAACAGAAACAAAAACTTTTTTATTCAATATAGATTATAAATAATATGAAAAATATGAAAAAGTCCTCCAGACCGAATTTCAGCCACGGCGGCCTGCCTCAACGGAGACTAGCCATCGGCGCAGGACAGGATTATAGTGCCCAAGTGTATGCGCAAGCACAGTTGCACTCTCTATTCCCTCACTCTTATAATGCGATGGGACGGTAAACCGACGCGACCGGAGAGAGATCAGGCGTAGGACCAACGGCTTTACGTGCTTTCCGAGGCACGGGGGTGAGACACCGCCAACTTCCTGACTCCGGGCAACTACTGAGAATTTTTGGACGAATAAACTCAATAATTATTTTTTTTCCGGACCCGGGATTCGAACCCAGGACCTCATGATCAGCAGTCGCACTACTACAACCACTAGACCAACGAGGCAGTCAAGATTATAAATAATACTTATTTAAAGTCATTTTTTTTTCATTTACCACTGGTTCGACAAAAAAACCTCTGTCCTGGGAAGAACCAACATGAAACCCAGTGGGACTTTTTTAATAAGAGCTTACAATCACGTGTGTTACAATTAACAACACAAAACAAATTGGAAATAGCTTGGTAGCGATCACCCTTCCCAGGGTTTATTATCATCCATAAATTCCTTAATATTATAATAATACTTTTTATACAAACTTAGTTTATTACAGTTTTTGAACTTTGTGTATGTCAAACTTTGTATATTTTCTGGGATTTTGTTGTAAAAGCGTAAATACATCGCCCCCAAGAATGAATTACTGACTCGGTGGAGTCGAGTAACTGGTACTACTAGCTTGTGTGAGTTCCTAGTATTTACAGAATGTATATCAGTTATTTTTGCAAAACTACTTTTATTTTTGTGTACGTACATTACATTTTCATTAATGTGTTTCAGTAATTTCCTTAAATTTTTGTCTGAGCGACTTTTTTGATTTTAAATCATATATTGCTCTAATGACCTTTGTCTATATAAACCTATTCTCTACGTGTTAGAGCCATGCCGTGTAGTGGCGGTTAAGAATATCCACTACCCCATATCTTCCCGTGGGTGTCGTAAGAGGCGACAGAGGGAGACAGGCAGGAGATGGGCAGCAGCGTCTTCCTGATGACAACTGTGACGTAATAAAAAACTGCGGTTGCCAACCCGCTCGCCAAGCGTGGCAACTATGGCAAATACCCCCCAATGAATAAATACACAAACAGACGGCCCCCAGTCCCCGGCGGCCCCGCTATTCCTGGCTACGGTGGCGACCATGGTAACGGCGGGGCAGGGGGTGCTAAGAATCTCCGGTGGAGGTTCGGTTGCCACCTACGACGACTCGACCTGGCAACATATAACGCACGCACCCTGAGGACTGACGAGAAGATACTGGAGCTGGAAGAAGAGGTAGACAAGTTGCGCTGGCATATTATTGGATTATCCGAGGTCCGAAGAGAGGGGGAGGACACGGCAATCCTCGAGTCCGGCAACTTGTTCTATCACCGGGAGGGCGACCATCTGTCCCAAGGAGGTGTCGGATTTATCGTCCACAAATCTCTCGTCAACAACGTTGTAAAGATTGGGAGTGTGTCGACGAGGGTCGCGTACCTGATACTCAGAATCACCAAACGGTATTCGCTGAAGGTCATTCAGGTTTACGCACCAACCTCGGCACATCCCGATGAGGAGGTGGAGGAAATGTATGAGGATATTTCCAGAGCCATACATTCCTCCAAAACCTACTACACGGTGTTGATGGGAGACTTCAACGCAAAACTGGGCACAAGAGAAAGCGGTGAGCTGAAGGTAGGGAAATTTGGAGTAGGGCAACGGAACCGAAGGGGCCAGCAGCTGGCCGACTTTATGGAGAAAGAGGAACTCTTTATGATGAACTCTTTCTTCCAGAAGCGGCCCCACAGGAAGTGGACCTGGTCGAGCCCCGACGGTTCGACAAAAAATGAGATTGACTTCATTATGACGACCAGACGCCAACTGTTCAGTGATGTCTCAGTGATCGCAAGGGTGAAAACTGGCAGCGATCACCGAATGGTTAGAGGCACACTGAACCTAAACGTTAAGTTGGAGAGGTCTCGTCTAATGAAGTCAACGCTCCGTCCCCCCTCGTGCTCTAATCCAGAATCCCGAAACCTTTCAGCTCGAGTTACGTAACCGCTTCCAGTGCCTAGAAGATTGCAATGCAGTGGACGATATGAACGACAAGCTCGTGGAAACTGTCCATGCGGTCGGAGCTAAGTTCTGCAAGACCCGCCGCAGAAGAACACAAAAACTCTCCGATCACACTCTTAATCTCATGGCTGTTAGACGGGAGATGAGGCTGCAATCGTCAACAGATTTGACAGCATACAGGCAACTGAACAGACAGATTTCCAAATGCATACGGCGAGACTTACGCAACTTTAATACTTCTCGTATTAAAGAAGCGATCGAGCGGAACCAGGGCTCCAAAGTCTTTGCCAGAGATCCGTCTGCCAGAAAGAGCCAACTGTCAAGGCTGAAGACTGAGTGTGGCAACATCGTTTCCGGGACACCTGAGATTTTGAGTGAGATTGAGAGGTTCTATGGGCAGCTGTACACATCATCGTTGGAGCCACACGCAAGTGTGAGTAACGATCCAAGAGCAAGTCTTATCCGACACTATTCCGATGATATCCCGGACGTCAGTCTAAGCGAGATTAGAATGGCTCTCCAGCACCTTAAAAACGGCAGGGCCCCAGGCGAGGATGGAATTACAGCGGAGCTTCTGAAAGCGGGTGGAACACCGGTACTTGAAGTCCTTCAGAAGCTCTTCAATTCCGTCCTCCATGGTGGCACTACTCCAGAGGCGTGGAGCAGAAGTGCGGTGGTCTTGTTCTTTAAGAAAGGCGACAACGCTCTCTTAAAGAACTACAGACCGATTTCCCTTCTGAGCCGCGTCTACGTGCTGTTTTCGAGAGTCATTACGAATCGTCTCGCACGCAGACTTGACGACTTCCAGCCTCCCGAACAAGCCGGTTTCCGAAAAGGCTTCAGTACCATAGACCACATACATACCCTGCGGCAGATTGTACAGAAGACTGAAGAGTACAATCTGCCACTTTGCCTGGCGTATGTGGACTATGAGAAAGCCTTTGATTCCGTCGAAATTTGGGCGGTGCTACAGTCCCTTCAGCGGTGCCAAGTTGACTGTCGGTATATCGAAGTGCTGAAGTGTTTGTACAGTAGGGCTACGATGGCTATCCGAGTACAGAACCAGAGCTCGAAACCTATCCAACTGCAGAGAGGTGTAAGACAGGGTGACGTTATATCCCCGAAACTCTTCACCGCTGCATTGGAAGACGTTTTCAAGCTACTGGACTGGAAAGGATACGGTATTGACATCAATGGCGAGTACATCACTCACCTTCGATTTGCCGACGATATAGTCCTTATGGCAGAATCGCTGGAGGACTTAAGCACTATGCTCAATTACCTCAATAGTGCCTCCCAACGGATAGGTCTTAAGATGAACATGGACAAAACAAAGATCATGTTCAATGTCCATGTCACACCTATGCCGGTAGTTGTTGGGAGCACTATGCTCGAAGTTGTTGACGAATACGTTTACCTGGGACAAATAGTCCGACTAGGTAAGTCCAACTTCGACCGAGAGGTCAATCGACGGATTCAACTCGGCTGGGCAGCGTACGGGAAATTACGGCATATCTTTTCGTCAGGTATACCTCAATCTCTAAAAACTAGATTGTACAACCAGTGCGTGTTGCCAGTGATGACTTACGGATCTGAGACGTGGTCCTTCACTGCTGGCCGTATGAGGACGCTTAAGGTCGCTCAGCGAGCTATGGAGAGGGCTATGCTCGGAGTTTCTCTGCGTGATAGACTCAGAAATGAGGATATCCGCAGTAAAACCAGAGTGACCGACATAGCCCAACGGATTAGTAAGCTGAAGTGGCAATGGGCCGGCCATATAGCTCGAAGAACCGATAACCGATGGGGAAGAAAGGTTCTCGAGTGGCAGCCTCGTACCGGTAGGCGTAGTGTAGGGCGACCCCCCACTAGATGGAGTGACGACCTGCTAAGACATGCAGGAAGTCGATGGATGCAGGTGGCTCAGGACCGTGCTTTGTGGCATTACTTGGGGGAGGCCTATGTTCAGCAGTGGACTTGTGAAGGGCTGTAATGATGATGATAATGATAGAGCCATGCTGCAGTTATATTAGTAGAATAGTTGTAGCACGAATGGGTCGGCTCGACCGGAGAAGAACCATGCTTGCACGCACAGAATACCAGTGTAAATAGTAGCTTAATGCTGCTGTGTTTCGTATGGTAAGTGTAGAGAACCGGAGACCCTTTTTAACTGGAAAAGAGGCATTCCATCTTGGTCCTCAGGGGTGACAACGCATCTGCATTTTGATTCTTAATCGAGAATAAATGTAGATGTCTATGGGCCGCAGCATCCACTTACCATCAGGTGGACGTGTGCTCGTTTGTCAAGCTATCCTATAAAAAAACGATTCACAATTTTTGCTACAAGACGAGAGGCCTATAGAGTGAAGATGAAGCCCAAGAAACTCGTCTTGGATCACACTTATTTTGGACTACTCTTACTCACTTTCAGCCCTGAACAAAGTGTGTGCAGTCTGATCCGGTCCATCTAACTCTGGATCGGTTGCGCCGGTACAGGCTTCGGCTCCCGGTTGAGGTAACAACTTCTCCTTCAGCATTTGTTTCCGCTCCTCGGACTCCTTTGCGGCTCGCTGGGTGGCCGCTTTTTCCTCCTCAATGGCTTTAAGCCGCTCCTCATCACTTATTATCTATCGAAAATATCGGGAGTTTACCATTAATTACTTTGTAACAACGTCTAAACTTTAGAACTTCTAAAAAACAATCATTTTGCACTGTCTTCCCATTCAAATTTTGTATTAGATTTATTTTATATCTTTGGGGTAACAAACATAGATCATTATTATCATAGAATACTATAATACGTACATAATAGAACGGGGGAGTGGGCGGAGCCTGCGTAGCGTAGACAGAGAAACCTATGGACTAATGATCGGCGTGGCCTCGAGTGAGAAAGAACGATAACGAATTTTTAGGTTATAGAATAATCTTTATGACTTTTAAACACATTTTGATAAAAATTTTAATTGTTCTACGAACTGAACTGAACAAGATTCACCAATCTTATATGCTCACAAAACACTTTTTTTCTCACTTAAACCAACTTGTAAACTCCTTAAATCCCTACGCTGTCAGTTGTTTAGCAAACTGTAGAGTTTGCTAAACAAAAAAACCGGCACGGAGAAAGGGATAAACAATCACACCGCTCTATCTCATTTCTATGCAAGACGTGTGCATAAATCTATCTTTTTCGTGTGCGAATGCGAAAGAAGGCGTCAATTTGTCTATAGGTTTATCTGTCTACGCCGCGTAGCTACTAAAATGTCAGTAATACGTCAATTCACAGGTATGAATGCAACACGAGATATGTTTTGACGTTACAATCGTTGATTAAAACTACTTTTACGGATTTTATCGCGTTTTATTTATATTAATTTTAATACCCGACGTTTCGGGTGCTTTCCAGCACCCATGGTCACGGGGGACTGAGGTGACTGACGTCCCGATGTCAAAGTTAACCCGGAGTACCTTCAGCTTTTTAATTATTTTCTTTGGTCCGATCTACGCAGAATGAACTAACTGTATTTTGAAGTCTTGCAGTGGTATACTTGGGTTTAGTTTTAATTTTATTAATTATAGGATCCCAAACAGGTGGTAGTAGCCAGCCTCCTTCTCTATTGAAATTATGATGTTTTTTAATTTCAATAGCCTCACGTATCATCCTTGGTAGGAATCGATGTTCTTTCGCAAGGATTTGTGGTCTATCAAATCTGATGTAATGGTTGGGGCCATCTGGAATATGATCGCAAACTGCAGACTTCCCGGAACGTTGATGCTTCACGTCAGCTATGTGTTCTTTTACGCGGGTTCTAATTGATCTCTTTGTTTGCCCTATATATGAGAGACCACATTCACAATCAAGCTTGTGCACTCCCGCATCTTGTAGAGGAATATGACACTTGACGGATGGTAAGAACTGACTAATCTTCTTCGGCGGCTTGTAGAATGTTCTAATAGAAGCTCGCTTCAAGATGTAGCCAATCTTGTCTGTGACACCTCTGACATATGGTAGTATAGCAGGCACACGTACAGATTGGCTCAACACTTAGCCAAAATATTATCACCACTCAGAGGACACACAAGAGCACATACTAAGGATTCATACCATTTTGTCAGTGAGATAAAAGACCTACGTCTTGCTGACAATGAAACCATGGTCAGTTTTGATGTTCAGTCTCTATTTACATGCCTACCTGTTGAAGACTGCATCTCAATTATAACTAGGAAACTAGATGAAAATAACATGCCACCAGAATATGCAGTACTACTAAGACATTGCCTTACATCTGGCTATCTATTGTGGAAGGAAGAGTTTTACAAGCAAGTAGATAGTGTTGCGATGGGCTCACCTGTATCTCCCATTGTCGCCGATATATTCATGGAAGACTTTGAGGAGAAAGCCCTCCTTACTACACCTGTTACCCCAAGGTTCTACAAGCGGTACGTAGACGATACTTTCACAATTTTACCATCAGACAAAATAACTGCATTTTTAGAACATATTAATTCCATAAACCCTAAAATTCAATTTACTGTGGATAGAGGCAAATAATTCCTTAGCTTTCCTAGATGTGTTAGTCATCCGAAATCCTAACAACACCTTAGGTCACACTGTGTATAGAAAAAAGACCCATACAAACCGATACTTAAATGGTGAATCTCACCATCATCCTTCACAGTTAGCTACCGTGGGCAAATCTTTGTTTCAGAGAGCACGAGGGATCTGTGACAGCAAACACCTGGCCGCCGAGCTTCAGCACGTCAAGCAGGTTCTGCACGACAACAAGCTTCGGGTCCCGCACCTCCGTCACAGTGACCGAGTGAAGCCGGCCACAGTCGAGCGTGTGCCTGCTATACTACCATATGTCAGAGGTGTCACAGACAAGATTGGCTACATCTTGAAGCGAGCTTCAATTAGAACATTCTACAAGCCGCCGAAGAAGATTAGTCAGTTCTTACCATCCGTCAAGTGTCATATTCCTCTACAAGATGCAGGAGTGTACAAGCTTGATTGTGATTGTGGCCTCTCATATATAGGGCAAACAAAGAGATCAATTAGAACCCGCGTAATAGAACACATAGCTGACGTGAAGCATCAACGTTCCGGGAAGTCTGCAGTTTGCGATCATATTCTAGATGGCCCCAACCATTACATCAGATTTGATAGACCACAAATCCTTGCGAAAGAACATCGATTCCTACCAAGGATGATACGTGAGGCTATTGAATTTAAAAAAACATCCTAATTTCAATAGAGAAGGAGGCTGGGTACTACCACCTGCTTGGGATCCTATAATTAATAAAATTAAAACTAAACCCAAGCATACCACTGCAAGACTTCAAAATACAGTTAGTTCGTTCTGCGTAGATCGGACCAAAGACAATAATTAAAAAGCTGAAGGTACTCCGGGTTAACTTTGGCATCTTTAATAATATCGAGACGTCATATCGGGACGTCAGTCACCTCAGTCCCCCGTGACCATGGGTGCTGGAAAGCACCCGAAACGTCGGGTATTAAAAGTAATATAAATAAAACGCGATAAAATCCGTAAAAGTAGTTTTAATCAATGTATAGTGTTCGCGTAAATATAAGAAATCGTTACAATCGTTTTCAAATTTCGCATGCAAATTATTAAAAAAATGCCAAATCGCACCCTATTTACAAATAAATATGATTAAAATTTAAACGATTTTTTAAATGATGATTTTGAACATTAATCAAAGGTTAAAAATGTGTAAATTTACTCAGTCTGTCAACAAAGCGAATCGGGTTTGGCGATGCCAAACGTCGTGCAAAGTAAAGTTGACAGCCATTCTATTGTGTATTATAGTATTCTATAATTATTATAAAGGAGATTAATCTAAACATAAAAACTGCTTAACTAATAATATAGCCAGCACCATCACCGATGGAATACTTTTATTACAAACATGAACACTCACGCCTGTCACCTAGAGGAGTAGGCTGAGACTAAGGGCTTCTATTTAGCACGATTCCGACGTACCTATCTAGCCTCTTTTACATCCGTATATCTACGCATACATGCTCGTTGGTTAAGAGTACTCCTAATCTGGCCTATTTTAGTGATATCGCCAATTTGGTCGATAAACCTTAGTCTAGGACATCCCTTCCCGACTTATTATTAAAGATGTAATTGTATCTTTGTATAAAAAAATAGAACGTGTATTAGGGTCAGTTTACACCGAGATGCGACGCGACGTTGCGTGGTGCGCACTTTTTAACCTGTTTGCTGTTCTTTCTGAGCTAGCGGGTTAAGATAGTAATACAACATATAACTTTATTTACTACAAAAATATACACATTTTATTGAAATAATTCGAAAATACACCGCGACGCGCTGCGACGCATGAATCACGACACAGCGCTGTTCCATCGGTAGGCGTAGCGTGCAAGAACGGCGCTGCGCCTCGTGAAGTCGCTCTCTGTGTTAACTGACCCTTAGGAACAACTCACAAGTATATCGAAAGACTTTGAAACCATCCAACCGATTCTAATTTTAAGAAATGTGTGTGTTTGACTGTGTCGCTAGATGATTTATATTGTTGCGCGCCATAGTTGATGCCGGTAAATGCCATTAGCGCTATCTTATATCGAGTAGCAAGCATTAAGAGAGCTTTCTAAGAAATGCCATGCTAGAACTTTCCACCACCAGCGCCATCTAGTAGCAAGTGGCAGAACTAGGACAGAACTTTCTACACTTAGTCGGTAAGGAGCGGTATATGCTCGAACATTCGGGATGTTTCTGTGGAAAAGGTCCTATATAAAGGCGCTAAGGACCGCGACCGAGGCACTAGTATTGAATTGGCGACACAAGCGAAGACTTCGGAGCGAAATATAGTGAACTAAAGTGTTAAGTGTGATTAATTGATAGTGTGTTTTAAGTTTTAATTGGTATTCGGCAATTAAAGTGTCAATTTTGGTATTACCATCGGCAGTTTTTATTGTCCCAAGCTCGTAACAATATTCACATTTGAACTCGGTAGGTGGCGCTGTTATCGAGATCCAGAAATCACCCGTGCAAAGCTGGGGCCGATATTTTAAATTTAGTTAGTATAAGAGTCAAATTGTAAAGAAGTTGTGAAAACTAAGAAGCAAGAGAAAATCGCAAAACCATAATACCCTTACATATTTTTATGGTAAATGTTTATATTAATTTTTTATTTTTGCAAGCTTCTGTGAAATTTGTTTCTTAAAAGATGCGAGAAATAACTTAAATATTATATCTACGTCGTTGTGTGATTTCATAAGGCGGCGCAAAGGATGCTGCAGCTATGTTCGTAGTATAGTTGTAGCACGAATGGGTCGGCTCGACCGGGGAAGTACCACGCTCTCACAGAATACCAATGTAAAATAGCAGCTTAACGCTGCTGTGGTGAGTGTAGACAACCGGAGACCGCTTTTACTGGAAATGAAGAATTCCATCTTAGTCCTCACTACGAGGATTGATGTAGATGTCTACGGGCCACAGCAACTACTTAACATCAGGTGGACTGTGTGCTAGTTTGTAACCCTTATTCTATAAAAACGGAGCGTAGGTACTCACCAGCGATTGTGCGATATATTTTAGGGGTGAATTAGTACTGAGTGTGAGTATTTCCAATGCGTTCTGAAAGACTTGGTATACGAGGTAATATCTTATTAGTAAACTAACTAGTAATCTTGATTGTTACCACAATGAACATTACTATGACAAATCTTTATATATATATATATAAATTACGTGTCACATTGTTTGTCCGCGATGAACTCCTAAACTACTAAACTGATTTCAATGAAATTTCGCACGCTGTGTGCAGTTTGATCCAATTTGCGAGATGGATAATTTTTATCCCGATAAGTGACCCTCAATGTTTTTTATTATGAATTTAAAGATCTATAAGACAAAGGGTCGACGCGGACTACGATACTATAACTGTAGCATGGCTCTACCACGTACCACATTTCTTTCGCTTTACCTTACCTTAGCTTGCTTTTTCAGCCTCTCAAAATCCTTCTTATGCATCACAGCAGGGTAGTAATTCGGTTCTTCTTTTGGTACCAGCAGCGTCCGCCAGCCACCTTGCTGCGGTACCAGTATGAACTCTTTTTTTCGGTATTTCACATTTGTGGATCGGTCTTTTCGTTATTGGAAATTTGAGACGACATTCTGAAGGTCTGCGGAAGTAATTATAGCTGTATAAGTGTTACCTACTTACAATGTAAGGCCGGCCCCATACTACATAAGGAATTTCGTTTCGGAATTCCGAAACGGAACAAACGGGTCGGCCACACACACACACACACACACCTACGGAACGTATGTTCCGATATGAACGTTTTGCCCGCAAAATTTCGAACGTAAAACTACCGTAGGTGTGTGACGGGTCATTGATTTGATATGGAGTTGCTGCGTTCGGAATCCCGAATCGGAATTCCGAAACGGAATTCCGTATATATATGGCCGGCCTTAGTGGTATAAAGCCTTGGTAGTACAGGGGCTAAGCACTCGATGTTAGTGTAATAGTTCTTTTTGTTTTTTTGTTCTTAATTTAAAAACGTTATCGAACGAAAATCCTAGTGTAGGGGCACTAGGATTTTCTCCCGTATCCTAGAGGCATAAATCCAGACCCGGAACAATAATTTGTAGGACGCATACGAATACCAGAGTGTATTGACATACGAATACAGGTGATTACAGTATACAGTACAGCTTACTTTAATAAAAATATCAGTTTACATGCACAAATTTCACAGGGACCAGACCTGGAACAGTCATTTGTGGGCAATACAAATACCAATGCGCGTACTGGGCATACCGTCCCGTAATCCGACACGATCGAAGAGAGATCAGGCGCGGGACCTACGACATAAGCTGCTTTCCGAAACACTGTGGTGAAACATCGCTAACCGCTTAATGACTCTAGGCTTCTATTATTACAATAACTGATTTAGACTTGATCAACAACCGCATTCACGGCTAGACCAACAAGACAACAGCAGACCGAGAAGTGATTTTGTAGCGTAGCGTAGCTTACTACCATTTTTACTCTTATCTATATAAACATCAGACAAATAAAGAAAGAGAATTTTAGACGGAGCGCTGCGTT